ACCGTGTACTTCATCGAGTAGGTACAGCACCAGTGACTTGATCGTGAATTGGTGTGCTGGAAGCAAATTCACACAACGTCTAGCGCAGTATCTCGTCCCTCACTCACCCGGATACGGCAGCCAGATAGAGTCAGGATCAGCAGAGGCAGGCTTGGTTTCAGTGGCTGCCAAAGTTGAAGGACCATAGAAATGTGCTACATAAGGTCTGGTGGTCTCACGCTTATCCAGCATCTGCCAATAGAGGAGAATCTATTAAAGGCGACAGAGCAGGTCGAGTGGGATCCCACATGAAATAAATTGCCACGGAGGCCCTAGGCAGAGGGAGATACAAAATCTGGCTTTCTATTGCAAGAGAAGCGAATAACTTCATTAGATAATAGTCGTTCTAGTGCGTTTCGATAGACTTGAGTATCATAGGTTTTACTGAGTGAAAAATGCGCTCAGCGGCCACTGCGATGGATCCCGGAGCGTCAACCTAATTCACTACCAGGCAGCAGTAGGCAATCCAAGCCAACGAGCCGTAAAGTTGAGCGCAAGTCTCTGGAGTGACTTGAATCCTGCATCTAGTTGTACAAGCACATCCTTTTCCTCCCATGCCTATCATTTTCATGGGAAGCGCGGGTTCAACGCACCCTGGTTATTGCGTGCCATCCTTTGGTGTTGTAAGCACCCCGTGAAGGAGCCCTGGAGGAAAATCCCAGTATGAAGTAGGCTTCTGGCGACGTCAAACAACGTTACTGCAGTTATGTGTCAATCGGATTGCGCGTCTTAAAAAATATGCCCTCCCCCGAACTAGTTAACTTCATTTGAGGCCATCAGGCGTGGACTGTCTGTTGTGGTTCTACTGAGGGCGCCTGGTGGAAAACTGGGCCTAGTTGGTCCGGCTGCCAACGCCCACCAATAACTTTTCCAATTGTTCTCACCAGAATGCAACAACCTCCCAACTGGCTTCGCACATCTGTTTGTGTTCGGGACCAGGTCTAACGGTTCTACTTCCAGTTTTATACGCTGTCTCCCACCTATTACTCTAACGCCCA